TGGACCAGACGAGAAAGTCCCCGACCTAGTCAGAGGGACACCTACTGCATCACTACCTAATAGGCTATTGGTAATCACTTTTTGCGTTTTATTGGCCTTAAGGGTGGGATTCTTAATCACACACTCTTGAGGAATAAACATTTTCTCTACAATAAAAACATCACGAATTAGCAAAGCACAAATATCAGAATAAGGGCAAGTCAAAAACAAAATGACTACCTAAATATTTCAAATGGTCGCTGCATTCGAGGAGCTCCCCGACATTAATAAATCTGGGCTCAAACACAAGCTTCCTCTCCTCGTCAACAAGGACCTTTCCCCATTTTCCTGCACGCTGGACTGGGGGTATTCCCTCGACAAAGGCCAATAACCAATTGTAACTGGCTTGATCTTCACGATTCAGTTGGCCCGCCTTCACTATATAGTGGTCGGTCCCCCAAGAAAAGTGCTTCATATTCTAGTGAAAATGAAACCGTTGTACAACCCCCTCACCGCGTCACCATCCTCAATCAGCACATGCCTCCCGTTTGCACCACTCTTAGGAAAACTCATAAATACATTGAGAATCGCCTTCTCTGAAATGGGCTGGACCAACAAGTACATGTCCTTAAAGTGTCGAACAAATTCGAGATAGGTCTTAAACAACTTCCTGTTCAACTGTTTTAGCGAAACCCATCTAAACTGCCCCCCAACTGCTCCCCGATGGAGACGGAAGCAATAGAAAAACAGGGGGACAATAGCCCCAATCTTCAAATACTCACACACAATCTCAAAATTCTGCAGGAAGGCTATCGAGTTCGGATGTAGCTGCGAAGGGGCAAGATAAAGATGGTCGAAGACGGCCACCTGAAGGTCGGTGAACGGGAGTCAGAGCCCCAAGTCTCTGAAAACAATCTCATACATAAGGAACTAGTTGACGTCATTCTTCGTACATACCTTATCGTACTTCTCGGGGACGAAGACAACCCAATCCTCCTCAGCGTTCAGTTGCTCCATCCCCACGACCACGGTCGTGAATGCCTCATCAGGATGCTTGGTAAAATATGACACAATCTCCCAGGGACCTGGTGCAATCCAATCCATCCCCTCGGGTTTGTTTTGCCTAGAAACCATGGGCACGCCCTGCTCGGACGCACTTTACTCCGATGAGGTATCCTCAAAAATCACTTTGTCCGGACGTACTCTCTACGGACGAATTTTGATCAGAACAACTCTATTCGTTCATAACCTCATCCTCGATGCTACTATCTATTTTACCTGAAAAACAGAGGACAAAAGTGATTTTAATGTTAAATAAAATCCACCATTTCACAGCTAATTAAGTGAAAAGGCATGCAAAGGCACGAGGATCCTGTCCCCGACCAGAGCCCTCACTTAAACAGCAAAAGACAGACGCAAGGAGCATTCCCCCCTAACGTGTTAGGTGCCTGTCCGCCAGGCTAAACCCTAACCAGCGCGAGGAGGTGATCTCCCCGGAAATTGGGTTTTAAACCTCTCATGAGGATTCATCAAAAACACATGAAATTCATGACATAAACTCATAAACAACCCAACTTCGACAGAAAACTCATCACAACTTGCAATTGCTGACCCAAACGCCAGATGTCACCAACAAATTCGCGGTGAAGCCGGTATCCTCATGTGGTAGAACCACTATAATACAACAACAGACTGCCAGAAAATTCCCCCACTAAGCTACATTAATCCTAACCGCATGCATCTCTAAAAGCAAAATCAGAAAATCTAGCCTAAAATAGAAATAAAATTCACAGAAACAATGGAAAATCAAGAAAATTACTTGGTCGGGGAAGATTAATGGCTGACGAGCAGAAACTTCGATGGAGGACGACGGTCCATTGTAGAAAGGAGAAGAAACGAGCAGAAGGAAGCAAACGAAAAGTGCAAATGAAGCTTCCTCTCTCCCATTTATAGCCAACTTTGCCAGCACGTGAGCGAGCACGCACCTAGGGAACCCCAAGGTCGTCATCATTGTACCCTAGTCCCTATACTAGCCATCATCATGTTTTTATGATAATGCGTGGCTCGAGGCAAGCGTAACACGCAAACTCCTCATATCCAATCAACTATTCCTCTCCCCGCGAGTCGAACACACGAAGCAACGCTCATGCTCCTTGTACGAAATTATCCAAAAAAATATCATGAAACGTCCCTATCCGCGGGCACGTCTTAAGTCATCACTCTTTTGTCCAGAAGTAATGACTTAAGGGCTCTTGTTTTGGACTGGCCCAATGGCTAGAATTGGCCTAATCTGCTTTACCTTCAACACGGCCCAACAGCTTTGGCCCGCTAGCTATGACCCTTTGGCCGGGCACACTTGGTCTACTACACCCCATGAACAGAGATCAACGATGTGTTGACCCATGCACATGCCCACATCGGCAGCTACCCCAGGTCTGCTCGACACGCATGGATCAGACAAACATGAAACATCCATAACACATGTGCCCGTAATCTCTTCCTTGCTCGGAGCAACGACTAGTTACGAGCATGACTGCCCGTTTTGACTAAATCTTGATAGTTACATATTTTTGAGGAACCTAATATCTAGGTCCAAAAATAGAAACCAACGACCAAGGGCCGGGGGCACTATAAAAACCCTCACACTTGTGAGGGCCAAATATTCAATATTCACTCTGAAAATCCTAATCTCTTTTTTGTATCTCTTTGCACTCTTTCTTACTTGAGCGTTAGAGTGCCTTGCAGGTACACCCCTTCTCTTCTTAAATTTCCAATCAGACAGACGTCATCTTATCGATCCACTTCAGATTCTAATCAATAGACAAGATCACTTCCAAACTAAGACATCTTCAAAAGCAAAATCCGATAGAAGAATGAAATATATAAAAGGCATAAGAGGCCATAAGACCATTATGAATCTTAACTCTGATGCTGCCCTTGACCCTGATGGTTTTGAGGCCATCTTCTATAAAAAAAAAATATTGGGACATTATAAAGGTTGATATTGTAAATGCTATCTCTCAATTTTTTTGAAGGGCTAAATTTTCCCTAATTACAATGCCAATACCATTAAGACTAATGAGGCCAATTCCCTAAACGAGTATAGACCAATTGCTTTAGTTAACTTTAAGCATAAAATTATTACCAAAATTTGGACCGATAGATTATCTACCATTCTGCCTCAATTGATTTCTGCTAAGCAAACTAATACTATTCATGGAAGAAATTAAAAAAAGGAAATACAAGTAGAGGTAGAGTGAAAATGCTATCTATGTAAAGAAACAAATTTAGCGTGTATTCAAAAAAAAAAAAAATTAGCTTCCAATCGATTTTAATGAGATAATGTATTAATTCATGATCAAAATTTTACCTAACCTAATACAATGTACCCTCACCAACACTTTCAGATATCATATATTACGTCATTTATTAAACATTTAAAATAGAACACATAGTATTTATTTTTATCCTTTTCTTAATTAAAACTTTTATAACTTATACACATTTTAAAATAAACAGAAAAATCCAAAACATCATATTAAAAAATCAAAACCTTAATGTTTATTTATTTATAGTAATAATAAAAATAAATGTCCATGTATATGTATTTTGAAATTGGTTTCAAATTTCAATGAAATGTGAAATTAAAACTATACATAATAAATATTATGAATCTGTATTAATTATTCAATTGTTTCGTAGCGTTATTTTATTTTATTTTCTTCCTTGTTTGAAAAAACCGATGCAGTGTTGATTCTGAATTTTGGATCACGACGGAACCCTCGTTTCTCCCCTTTCTCTCTCCGTCGCTGCAATTGCTGCCTCCGTCGTTTTCATCATCCCAATCCCTAATTAACCCCCCAACTCCCGCTTTTGCATTTTCACCTCCGATCAAGAGTTTCCTCAGGTATATAATTTTTCGATCCATTTTTTTTCTCTATCTCCTTTCGATTCCGTGAAACTGCGAAACGAATATAGAAGTTTGGTTCGTTTTTGTGTGTTTAATTTTAACAATTAGGACTTGGTTGGATCGTGTGAATGGGTATTTATGGTTGCGAATTGGGTTTGGTGAGTGAAGCGGAAAGATGGATATGTATGAATTTATGTGGTAATTAATTGGTTGTGATATGTGCTGCATTTTATAGATGATGATTGTTGTTATTTTGAAGAAGGATGGGAACAGAGATTTTAGGTAAAGGGAAAGGGAAAATTTGTAAAGTTAATATTTTTTGCTGTTTCTATGCTGACTTGAGCTTTGAAGTTGACTGTTGGTGGTGTTTTAATTTTGAAGACCTTGGATTTGTTTTGGGGAGGGGAGTTAAATTGAGAGGGGATTTAAGGTTTCATTTTGTGATAGGTTTTGGAATAAAGGAATGGTTTTTAGGTTCCAAAGATTGATTTTTTTCTTCTTCTTAGGATTGAGATGTGATTATGTGAGTAATTAAATGGCCTGTATCTACTGTGGCTGGAACACGTAGATAATTTGCATTGATATAGGTATGTTTTTTTTTAAAATTTTTTTATGGTGAAAGCTAGTAAAAAATTGTGGGGATTGGGGACATAGGTTTTGTTGCAAATGAACATAAGGAAGAATTTGATATTCCGGTTGGGAGGGGAATGACTAAAGTGAGGGGAAATAACAAGAAGAAAGTAAAGAGTAAAACAACTTGAATTTTCAAGGCTTAATACGGAAAAAACCTTAAGAATACTGACATTCAGTCAAGACTCTTGAATGTAGAATTATTCGGCGTAATTTGATAGACCATTATGGTGTAATTTGATCATGTAGCCGACCCCACTTGGTTGTTGTTGTGGTTCATTATTACATACCAAATCTAACTAAATATGGAATCAATTTTAGTTTAATACATGACTGCATGGATTTTGGCTACAGAAAGATATCAGGATCTTTTGTGCTTATTTCATATTGTATCTTTATGCTATGCAATGCTGTATGTGTGTGTGTGTTTGATATGACTTTCTAAGTGCTGTAGGTTAGTGGAGCAAGGCTGTGGGTGAAGATGAATTTGCAACAGGTTGGGCAGCCTAAATCTTCTAATGGATATGGTCGTCGGAAATCTGAAAAAGATGGGGCATCCAAATCGGATAATAAGATTCCCCTTGGAAAATCAAATGCTGGCAGATTAGCGAGTACAGGTGAACATCTAACCCAAGCTGTTTACTATTTTCTCTTTCATTTACTGTTTTACCGTTATTAAAAAAACTATTTTAATGATGATTACTTCTACAGGTGCAGTGGCAAGTAGTAAAGGTGGTAGTTATGAGAGTCCTTCACGTGATCGACTGGTATATTTGACAGCATGCCTTATTGGGCAACAGGTGGAAGTCCAGGTGAAAAATGGATCTATATACTCTGGAATATTTCATGCTACAAATACTGAGAAAGATTTTGGTATGTTCTGTTATGTTTGTGTTATTGATTTTGATGTTATTGGAAATATTATTCTTACGCTGCTGTATCCCTAAATAGATTCTTTTTTTTCTTTCTATTTCAGTTATTTTTTTTTAGAGATAATGCTAAAATAGACTTTTTTTAAATGAGAAATGTTAGTAAATGTTAAGAGTCCCTCATCGGACAATATATGGCCTGAACATGTGCTTATAAGTGGGGACAATTCTCATCCTACAAGCCGGTTTTGTAGGGTTGAGTTAGGTCCAAACACACATTCTAAGATGATATCAGAGCCCGATTTAAGATCCGTTGGGCCACTCCGCTATCAAGCCACCCACCCTTTAGTTCCACGCTTCAGACTTTCAATCATGGACATGAGAGGGGGTGTTAAGAGTCCCACATCAGACATTATATGGTCTGAACATGTGTTTATAAGTGGGGGTAATCCTCACCCTACAAGTCGGTTTTGTAGGGTTGAGTTAGGCCCAACTCACACATTCTAAGAGTATAAATATTTTATTGGGGGTAGGGAGCAGACCATTTTTCCTCCTTATCATTCACTCCCTAACTCCTACATCTCATCATTCCACTCCCTAACTCCTACATCTCATCATTCCACTCCCTAACTCCTACATCTCAACCAACAAGCCAACCTTATATCCCTTGATTTGTTTTTTTTTTGTTTTTTTGCTGCTCATATCATCATCGCTGTTCTTTTAGGAATCATTTTGAAAATGGCTTGCTTGACAAAGGATGGGTCTTCGCAAGGGCAGAGCTCCGGTGCTGAATTTGTCAGCAAAGCTCCTTCAAAAACTTTAATTATACCTGGAAAAGAACTTGTACAAGTTATAGCAAAGGTTTGCTACGTTTTATTTATTTGCAACGGAATTTCAGTCAAATTCTGCAATGTTACTTTTTTTTTTTGCTTTTAAATAATATGTATGGAATTGGAAACTAAATACTACTGAACAGTGTTGGAAAAGTTTTAGTTTCAGGATTAGGTGAAGTTGATGTGAAAACAGTCAATTTGTTCATTGATGGTATCTTTTATGTATCATTTTTGCAGGATGTTGCTGTTTCTACAGGTGACCTAGCCAGTGAATCTCAGTATGATGTGCATCAGGAGATCATGGTTGATTCGGTAATATCTCAACCTCGTCATGTTGATTTAGGGAGAGAGTTACAGCGATGGGTACCTGATGAAGATGTTCCACAATGCCCTGAACTTGACAATATCTTTGACGGCTCTTGGAATAGGTGGTTTTATATTTCTCTTATCATCATCTAATTGAAATTATACAAACGGCTATTCACAAAAGTATGAATTATACTTAAATAGTTCTATAGTAAAGAGTAAGGGATTTTGTGGTAGGTCCTTACTTATCTGATTGTAATTTTGCACAGCTTCTCAATTTTTTTTTTACCTTGACAACTATTTTTATATTCTTCAAGTTCTAGGGGCTGGGATCAGTTTGAAACAAATAAAATGTTGTTTGGTGTAAAAAGCACATTTGATGAGGAACTCTATACTACAAAGCTTGAAAAAGGGCCTCGGATGAGAGAATTGGAGATGCAAGCACTAAGAATAGCAAGAGAAATTGAGGGTGAGGAAACCCAAGATATTCATCTAGCAGAGGTTGGTGTGGGTTCAATGCATTTTCGCTCTTTGCAAATTTCTGTATATTTTTTATTAACTTGTCTGAATAAATTCCTCAAACTTTAATTTTTCTCAACAGGAAAGAGGCCTTTACTCTGATGACTTTGACATTGATGAAGAGACCAGATTCTCTTCCGTGTATAGGGGTAAAGGTGTTGACGATGAATATGATGAAAATGATGACAATTTTTTGGATTCACACAATTCTGAAACGTTCGGTGATATGTCGGATTCAGTCATAAAGAGACCAGGAAAGGTAAGTGGTGGGAAGGGCAAAAGTGGAGCTCAAACATGGTCAAATTTCTCCACTATGGTATCTCTTCAACCAGTTATTTTATAAGTGTTCATTTTAGTTGGTTTCAATTATTTGTCAACTTGAAGGTCCCACTGGCTTCTGAGCGTGTACTTTCTTATGATCGAGTCCTACCATTACTGTGTTTATGTATTTCTTTAGCTACATAAAGGCACCACCCTAAATGTTGTTCACACTCTACCTGAATATTGTGGTTTTTGCTCTTCCAAATATTTACTGGTCCAGTATGCTGTCTCAACCTTGCTTAAACAATATGTTCTGTTCGGTTTTTCAAATCGGTGCATCTTTTGTTTTGATATAATCAAACCAGTGCTTCTTGAACATCTTAATATTTTAACAAATTACTCCCTCCTCCCAAGTTATTAGATGCTTTACAAAAAAAGTTTGTCCTAAATTATAAGTCACTTTACAATTCCAATGCAATATTTATAATTTTTTTCCTAATATACCCTCAACTATTTATTATTATTATTACTTATTTCAACTCTTAATTTCTCTTTCCTGTGTAATTATGAGGGGCATTACTGTAAAGTAATACAAAATTTGTCTTTTCCTTACAGTAATGATTAAGTTTCTTAATTCGTGTGAAATATTCAAAGCGTCTTATAATTTGGGACGGAGGGAGTATAAAACATTTGTCCAAAATAAGTCGGTACTAAGTGTTGCCCTAAATTTTGCCTTGACCTCCCTCCTCTCTTATAAAGTAATAGTTATAAAACTCAGCATAATATTTTGTTTTACCTTGATCACTTACAGTCATCTCAGTCAAAGACTGGTGGAGATATCCACTCTGGTTCTTATGATCATGCTAAGCAGTTATCATCTGAACTCTCTGGTCAAAGTTACTCATTTTCAGATTTGGAAAGCAGGTTTTTGTTTTTGCTTTTATATTTAGTTGTTTTATTTGCTTCACTGTAATTTTGTGAATTTTTTTATCCAAGGGTGGCTTTTCATCTAAATACTGATAGAAACCAGAAAAATATGAACACTGAGGATTATTTAATGCAAATCGTTGAACTTGAAGCTCTTACAATGGAGGATGAAATATAAACTGTAAACCAGAGTTCTATGAACTCCTCAACCAGAGCAGAATTGCTCCTAAACTAGAGAGCAACTCTCCTAACAACTATCTGAATGAATCTCAACTTCCCTTCCCTCTCTCCTTTTAAAACAGAATATCCCCTAAAATTAAGGAAATATTCTAACTAACTCTCATTAGACTAAGAATCCTATCACTACCACCCCCTTGAAAAACAGATTTGTCCTCAAATCTGAGCTTGTGACGCAAACAACTGCTGAAGAACCCAGTCAAACAAATGAACTGTAGTGGAATAAACAGCAAACTGCCACTGCAATACAAATACAATCTTCACAATTTTTTAATTTTTCGGCTGCCTCATAATTTTTTTCCAGGATCCCATTGTCGGTTACTTGCCAAGCTAACTGCAAAAGATCGCACCACCCGAATAGTCTCCGCTTCACTGTACTTGGGTGAAAAATTGTTGTTAAACTCTTCCAAATTTAAAGAGGTCAGCATTGTAACAATCATAACTTTGACTAAGAAAAGAGAGTTTATTAGAAGAACCTAATGTATTTGTAGCCATCTTTGTTTCCCTGTTATATTCATCTTCAACCAGGACAGCCCAATATTCACCAGAATTAAGATAGGAACAATCCAACAACACAGTGAGTGTGAAGACGCAATTTCAATGCATGCCGTATTCACTCGCATGCCCCTGATGATCATCAACACATGAATTTTCTAAAACGAATGCTCCCAATAGACCTGAGCCTTTATCTGCCCTTCTCAGTATATTAATAGTAATACCCTTGGTGCCATTTATGATTTTATTTAGGAACTCAGAAGAACTAGGTAAGAAGATTTGAATCACCTGGCTCATTTTCTTTGATGAAGAAAAACTCTGCAATTCTATTCCCGCTCTTTGCTTCTCCTTGAGATTTACTTCCCTTTTCTTTGGTTTGGACTGCTTCGGCAAGACAGCTACTTCACTAGAAGGGTTTGATTCCATGACTGGGCTAATTGCAGCTGAGATACCGTCCGATTCCAAGACTTCCGAAAAGAAGGTGAAGTGCGCACTAGACGGCGGGGCAATGAACGACAACCAGTTTGCACCTTTGCATTGGGTTTCCATCAGGCACTGACTCAGTTGAGTTGAAAAAGAGCAACCCGTGTGTGAAAGGTATTTTCTGAACACATGGGTTAATCAGCAAAGTACTAATTTGGGCCTGCTTTAGTGATTCAGCCCAATTTATAATTCCCTTCCAAGAATGGGTCTGATCATAGTTCTTGGTACTTTCATTATCTCTAACTTCTCCGATTCGATGCACGCCTCAAATTCTTTCGCTGATTTTTTTCTTGAGGTACACATGGAGGATTGCCGCCGTTGACTGTGCTTGATCCTTCACTTGCCTGAGAGAAGGTCTCCTCCAATTGACCCTTAAACTCCCTATCCTTCATTTTCTTCTCTGGCTTCTCAGGCTCAGCTGCAAGGATCACATATATGTTCGCCACACTTATTTCCTTCTTCTCCGCTGCTTCCGACTTCACATCTGTTTGGAACTCTGCTACACAGTGCTCTTTCATAGCATTTGTTATCGGAAACACACTCCAACCAGAGCTAAGATTCTTTACAGGAATATGCCCCAAATGCTTCGGCATCTTTGTCCTCAACAATTGACGAAACTCCAACTTAAAGGATTTGACAGCTTCCTCCAATCCTCCCATTCTCACTTCAATTGCATCAATTCTCTCGACCATTTCTGCTTCCAACTTTTCTTCTTCAATCATCTTGAATGACACGTACGCTGTCTCTTCGATAATCCGGCAGGTCGTACCAATGATAGAAATTAGAAAAATATGATGAACACTGAGTACTATTTAATGCAAATCGTTGAGCTTGAAGCTCTTACAATTATTAAAACAATTATTGAAGGGTATTTTAGTATTTCTAATTGTTTTTGATAACTTAGTTATTAACTCTATACTATTAGAGCCTATGTGGCATTCCTTTTCTTGTGTATAAATAGACTAGTTGTAAATGTCACAAATACAACAACATTCTTCCTTACAGTTTTACAGTCGTCATTCTCTCTGCTCTCTTAAATATATTTCTTTTGTTCATCATTGATTCTTGTGCACTAACAATTGTTATCTAGAGTTCCGGTTGTGATCCACAGGGAAACACGAGTGAAACGTGAGGCGTTTGTGTGATTGATTTTGGTTTTGGGTTCATGTTGAATCTTGAACAATATCTGAACAGAGTTACATTTTTTTTGATTCTGTGGGGTTGGGAAACACTGTGCTTGTGAGATCTGAGTGAGTTGTACAAGGTTAAGGATGAACGAAAACAGTAATCTGAGTACCAAACTTCCTATTTTTGATGGCAAGAACTGGAATAGATGGATGATTCGGATGTGCGTGTTATTTGGTGTTCAAGATGCGCTTGAGCTTGTTACCAATGACTATGTTTCGGTTGCAGCAGATGCGACAGAAGAAGAGAGAAATGAATAGAGAAATCAGAGGAAGAAAGATCAGAAGGCGTCCGTTAGTGTGTGGATGTGAATGTGTTTGAGAAGATTGACGATTCAACGACGACGAAGGAGGCATGAGACACACTGGTCAAATGCTATGGTGGTGGCACATCAGTGAAGAAGGTAAAGCTACAGTCTCTGCGAAAGCAATATGAGAATCTCAACATGAAGAACAATGAGAAGGTTTCTGAGTACATATCTAGAGTGATTCTGATCACTAATGAGATGAAGGCTTGTGGAGAAATCCCTTCTGAACAAGTAATCATTGAGAAGATATTGAGGTCACTTACTCTTCAATTTGATTACATTGTTGTAACAATTGAACATTCTAAAGATCTGAAAACCATGAGAATAGAAGAGCTGCAAAGCAGTCTAGAGGCACATGAGTTGCTTCTGACTGAAAGAACTTCTGAGAGGGAAGTTGAGCAGGCTCTGAAGGCTTCTTTTGTCAAGAAGGACCAAAAGCGTTCTTGGTCAGAAACCAAGAATAAAAGTGATGATAGATTCCAGAAGTCAGAAATCTCTACTTCTGATGAGAAGAAACATCAGAAGGGAAATGAGAAGTTTGACAAGAAGAAGGTTCAATGTTACTGTTGTAAGCAGTTTGGCCATTTTGCTAAAGGTTGCTGGTCAAACAAGGGAAGGAAATCAGGAGAAGCAAATATAGTCAGAGGGGATTCTGATGATGAACCTGTGCTACTGATGGTTTCTGAGTCTGATGGAAAGTGTTTGGCAGACTGGTGGTATATGGACACTAGCTGTTCAAATCACTTAATTGAAAACAAACAATGGCTGGTAGGTTTTGACTCCAGAAGGAGGACAAAAATCAGATGTGTTGATGATAAATACTTTAATGCAAAAGGTTTGAGAAATGTCAAAGTAAAGTGAAGAATGAAAAGACCGTTCTGATCAAGGATGTTTAGTATGTTCCTGGAATTAAGAGTAATCTGATGAGTGTGGGTCAGCTCATTGAGAAAGATTTCTCAGTTATTATGAAGTACAATCTCTTGAAGTTGTATGATACTAATCAGAAGATGATTATGTAATATGAACAAGGAAGCAACAGGACATTCAAGGTGAATGTGGAGACAACAAGAACAAAATGTCTTAGTTCAGACGACGCTGAAGCTGATAGTAAGCTGTGGCACAAGAGGTTAGAGCATCTGAACTATAGAAACTTAGGATATCTGAGTTCTAAGAAGCTCGTATGTGGCATTCCGAAGATTGTGAAGCCTGAGAAGTCATGTGAGGTATGCATGAAAGGCCAGCAACCCAGATTGCCATTTGTGTCCGAAGTAGCTCCAAGAGCAAACCATGTTTTGGGAGTAGTGCATTCTGACGTGTGTGGACCATTTTCAGAACCTTCACTTGTAGGAAATAGATATTCTGTGTCTTTTGAGGATGAGTTCACAAGAATGACGTGGATAACACTCATCAAGTTTAAACATGGGGTGTTTACCGAATTCCAGAAGTTCAAGGTGAAGGCTGAGAAACAAAGTTGTCAGAAGCTGAAGATTCTCAAAACGGATGGTGGAGGTGAGTATAACTACAAAATTCCAGAAGTTCTGTGATGAGAATGGAATTGACCATGAGGTTACTACTCCTTATACTCCTCAACACAATGGTCTTGCTGAAAGAAGAAATCGTACTTTGCTTGATATGACCAGAAGCATGCTGAAAGAGAAGAAGCTACCTCATAACTTGTGGGGAGAAGCTGTAGCTATTTCTACGTATGTGCTCAACAGGTGTCCAACAAAGAAGCTGAACGAAATTGTTCCTTTAGAAAAATAGACTGGAGACAAGCAAAGTGTTAGCCATTCGAAGGTGTTTGATTCTGTATGTTACAAACACGTTCCTGAAGCTAGAAGAAAGAAGTTGGATGATAGAAGCAAAGTGATGATTCTGGTGGGGTACCAAAGTACAGGTGTAGACAAGCTTTATTGCTTAGAAACGAATAAAGTTGAAGTCAGCAGAGACGTCATTGTAAAAGAATCAGAAGTATGGGATTGGAGCAAGTCTCAATCTATTTCTGAAGATGAGTCAGAACTTGAAAGTTCTGAAGAAGTCAGAGTCAGAAGATGATTATGAAAACTCTGAAGATGAGTCAGATGGTGAATTTGATTTTGATCTAAATTTTGATGATGATTCAGAATCTGGTGGTGGTCATGCTTCTGAAAGGAAAAACTCTGAAGACGTAGGTTTTGAAGGACAAGCTTCTGAAGATGATCATGTCTTTAAAGGTGGGCCTTCTGAAGGAGGAGCTTCTGAAGGTAGTCCAACCTTTGATGAAGGTCATGATTTTGAAGGTGGTCAAGTATCAGATACTATTCCAGAATCAGAAAGAGTTTCTGAATAAGTTCAGAAACCACAAAGAATTAGACAAATTCCAAGAAGGTTTGTAGAGTTTGACATGTTGCAAGACACTGAAGTAGATTTAGAAGGAGAAATTGTTCACTGTGCCATGCTAGTAGACTCTGAATCCGTGAGTATTGTAGAACTCTCAAGAAAATATGGCTGAATGCCAAGAAAGAAGAACTTGAGGCTATAGAAAGAAACAAGACTTGGAAGCTGACTAAGCTTCCAGATAAGAAGAAAGCCATCAGCGTCAGATGAGTTTTTAAGGTCAAATATAAGCCAGATGAGTCAATTGGCAAGCACAAAACAAGGCTAGTGGCTAGAGGTTTTCTTCAGAAACCTGGGCTAGATTACTTTGAGGTATTTGTGCCTGTAGTTAGACATGAAACAATCAAATTGGTGATTGTTTTAGCTGTAAATAGAAATTGACTTCTGATGCATCTGGATGTGAAGTCTGCATTTCTGAACGGTCCATTGCAAGAAGAGGTATACGTGTCACACCCTCCTGGATTTATGAAAAACAATCAGGAAGGGATGGTGTACAAGTTACATAAAGCTCTGTATGAATTGAAGCAAGCGCCCAGAGTTTGGAATTTGAAGATTGATTCATTTTTCAAGAAGCAAGGTTTTCAGAAGTGTGAGATGGAGTATGGCGTGTATGTTCAGCATTCTAAAAGCAATATGATTCTGATATGTCTATATGTTGATGACATATTGCTGACGAGAAGCTGTTCTGATGAAGTTGTCAAGTTCAAGAAGACTCTGATGAATGGGTTTGAGATGACTGACCTAAGAAAGCTGGTTTACTTTCTAGGGATGGAGGTATTGTATTCTGAAAAGGGTATAATTTTGCATCAGCTGAAGTATGAACTTGGACTTCTGAAGAAATTCAAGCTGCCGTCAGGATTCTAAGGTATATCAAGGGAACTCTGAAGTTTGAAGTACTATTCCCTTCTGGAAGAAAGACAGACTCAAAGTTGATGAGCTACTCTGATTCTGATTGGTGTGGAGATAGAGTTGATAGAAGAAGTACTTCTGGATACGTGTTTAAGTTTCTGAGAGGTCTTATTTCTTGGTGTTCCAAGAAGCAATTCGTTGTTGTTCTATCAACGTGTGAAGCTGAGTACATTGCAGGTGCTGTAGCTGGATGTCAAGTTGTGTGGCTTTTGAATTTATTGCAGGATCTGAAGATCAAGGTAGATAAGCCCCTGAAGCTGATTATTGATAACAAGTCTGCAATCAATCTTGCTAAGAATCCAGTACTAAATGGGAGAAACAAGCATATTGAGACATAGTATCATTTTCTCAGAAGTCAAGTCCAGAACGAAGTATTAGAAGTGGTGTACTGTAGCACCCAGAAGCAGCTGACAGATATCATGATAAAAGCAATAAAGAAGGATCAATTTCTTTGCTTAAAGAATGAAATTGGTGTAGTTAGTTTAATTAGAAATTCTAAATTAAGGGATGGTATTAAAGAGTATTTTAGTATTTCTAATTGTTTTTGATAACTTAGTTATTAAGTCTATTCTATTAGGGCCTATGTGACATTCCTTTTCTTATGTATAAATAGACCAATTGTAAATGTCATAAATATAACAACAAATTCTTTCTTACAATTTTACAGCCGTCATTCTCTCTGCTCTCTTAAATATATTCCTTTTGTTCATCATTGATTCTTGTGCACTAACAACAATGGGGATGAAACAGAAACTGTAAACTATAGTTCTATGAAATCCTAAACCAGAGAATTGCTCCTAAACCAGAGAGTAACTCTCCTAACAACTTTCTAACAAACTTTCTGAACGAGTCTCGACTTCCCTTCCCTCTCTCCTTTCATAACAGAATATCCCCTAAAATTAAGGAAATATTCTAACTAACTCTCATTAGACTAAAATGCCTATCAAATATCAACTTCATTAAAAATTCTCCAATCATTTTAACTCACAGGATACAGGATAACTCAGTTTGTGATCTACATGGAGCCAATGGTAACACCAAGGAAGAAAATCAGACGGTGAGGAGAAGTTTCAGTGTCACAACCTTCATACCATGTCTTCATAAATTAGACACGTAATTGCTGTAATCTGATATTCTTAAATCTCATTCTTTTTTGCATTACTTGTTGCAGCAGGCTGAGGATGTACAGCTGTCAAAATATCAGGGTTTGTGAAATTTCTCTCAGCTCCTTGTGAATTGATTATATCTAAACCATTATGTCTGAAGCTGTAAAGCTAATGTGGATGAAACTAAACCAATGCCATTTAAGTGGTTATTCTGTTTATCATAAAGGAAGTGCTGAAGCTTTCTATCAGTACCATTTAAGCTGTTGCTTTTTAAGAAACATTTGCATTCCTTTGATCGTGGCAATTCTTAGTGCAGATTTGAAGCCAGCACTCAACTTGAAGAAAGACGGATCTGATAAAGTGGGACTATCTCCTACTAATGCCTCTTCTACTCATATTTCATCAAAGATTGATGAAAAAACTGGATCACATGGAGACTTGATTGGGGGTTCCGAATCTGTCAAAGCAAGTTGGGAAACGAAGTCCTTAAATTCACGTGGAAGATCAGAAACACGTATATCATCTGGTTCAGATTTTATAGCAGGTGTGGCAACATATTCTGGTCCAAGTTTATCACCAAGTTCTTCACTCGGTTCATTGTCTTCTGACAAATCAACTCTGAATCCCTATGCGAAGGTGTGTCTGTTATAGATCGACTTTATAGAGTAGGAAGCCGTATTTGCAAATGCTGGTCTTTTTAATTACTATTGTGGCTTGTCTCAGCTTTCTTCTGTTGTGGTTTTCCCTTGTCAGGAATTTAAACTGAACCCTAATGCTAAGAGTTTCGTTCCGTCTCAAGCACCTGTTAGGCCTCGATCCCCAGTGTCTGATGGTTCCTTCTATTACCCAGCTAACATATCTACTGTACCGAGTATGCCAACCATGCCAATGGGTGTCGGAGTATGTATTTCTTGGAAAGATATTTGTCTAATCTCCTATGAATTGGACTAGTCACTCCATAGGAGACTCTAAATTTCTTAGTCAGGTTTAATAGGTACTCTATAATCTCTGACTTCTTGAACCTTGTTGATCTCGTATATGGTGTGCAGGTTGGAACTTCTTTTGCCGGGCCACAACCTATGATGTATAATCCACAAGTAGCACAAATGCCATCCCAACCATATTTTCATCAGAATGGACCACAGGTGGGATCCACTTTCGGTTCTCTCTCGATACTTCTAAGTTAACATAGAATATGAATATTTCAGAAAGATTAATTTTGTTAATCTAATTGCAGTATGGACAAATTCATGGTCATCCTAGACAAGTTCTATACATGCCCAATTACCTACCTGTAAGGACTCTTTTATTCTTTAGTGTAGACTTCACATGTGCATGCTTTGATTCTATCTATGTATATCAGTTATGCTGTTTTTAGCATTATTATGACAAATATGCCAGCTACCTCAATAACTTCATATATGTGATGTGTCATGAATGTTGGATATTCTTCCTTAACCGATCATGGAGAAGATTAAGTTGCCACTATATACTTTTAGGTAAATTTTCATGGTCAATTTATTGTTACCTTAACCTCCTAGTTTTTTTACAGGAGACACCGCCATATAAGGGACGGAACTATTGATCACCAAGTTGACTATGTTCTCGACAAGTTAGCCATTGCCTGAAAAGAATTGACCAAGTGAGAGTTTCAAATGAAGAAGATAGCTTCAGCTTATAGGAGGATTCTCCATAGAAGTTTGATAATTTTCAAGCAAGCTGCTTTATTCAGGAACATAAGCTATTGATCTTTTAATCACTCACATCTTTTGTGATTTCTATGTTATCCTTAACGTAGAGCTGGTTTACTGAGATTGGCACACTTTTTCTTTATTTATAATGCAACATTTACTCCAACTAATATGTGTCTCCCATGATTTAATTACTGCTCAGTCTTTTGACATATAGTCATGATGATGCCTACAGGGCCATGGTTGTTAAAATCGAGTCTTAACTCTTAAATCGTCATATTTTATGTTTTTAAGGTATAGATTGAGTTAAATTGTTTGTAAAGTTGAATTTGGGTAAAACCGGTTATCCAAATTAACATGTAGTAAACTCTTTGAAATCGGTTAGAATTGGAAGCCATTTTGCTTGATTTTATTCTGAGTTTATCTGATTCTAAAGAAATACACTTTAGTTTTATTGGATAGTTTTAAATTTTAAATTTTTAAAATTTTTTTTTTTTATAGTTTGGTGACGTAATTTACTTCATTTGATACAACAATTTTGACGCAAAACAATTATTTTCTGTCATTTCTGAAACTAGCTCTTATGGTGTCAATCTTTAATTAAAGTTCATACATTTTCTACCACATCCTCAAATTCGAGAAATTCATTTCACTTGATTATGCGAACCACAATCACATCTCACACAAACTTATGTGAGTACAATCAACTGACTCTTGCTATATGCTTCGTTGATCGGAAAAACTGTTTCTGTAGATCAAATACTTATGTGATTACAAATGTTTCTTATGTGATCTCACATCTCACACATTTTCAACAGCACATGATAGAAAAGCTGTTTCATATTCGATCGGTATAGCTCAATCTTCAATTGGATCCATCAATGCTCTTGGAAACCAATTTCATAGCGTGAACAACTTGATGTAATTCTTGAAGGCTTGCTTTAGAATTTTGAGTCCATAGTAAGTTATTTATCAAGTAATTTCAAAAGACAAGAGAGATAGGGTGGATTGTGATTTTTTCTGGTGAAATAAAAAACTACGAGGTATAGGTACAGTCCTCAAAGATACCTACCACTTTAAGATTTCCATTATCAACTGAGTTTCTTAATCCAATTCTTAAAAAAAAGTTCTTTTCAAAAAGAGATTTGATAAAAAAAAATACCCGCAAGTTGGTAAAAAAGAATTCTTTTAATTCACAAACTCAACTAAGAATCTTCTTTTTCAACGCGATCCCAAATAAAATTGTGTGTAATCTCAATGTGTTTGATTTAAAAGTGAAGTACTAAATTTCTAGTGAGATCTATGGCATTAGTGTCACATTTAATAGAGACACTTTTGAGATTAATAATTTAATTGTTGCTTTAATCAAATTATGTGTAACAACTACCTACAATAACATATCTACTTCAACTATGAATAACAGAACATTTGTTTTTTTTTTATATGCCCAGAATCAAGATAATTTCCAAGATAGTAACATGTTCCACTGGTAATTTTTCAATTTAGTTTACATCATGCAAAATTTGAATTAAAGTACCCAATTGAAGTGTAATTCATCCCTTTAAGATACCATAAATTTATATGATATGTGTTAATGAGATATCTCATAATGTATATGATAACAATAAGATGTGATCCTTTGTTTAAAAACATGCCACACATACAAACAAAAAAATATGATATCACAATAATTAGTATAAGATAAAAAAGAGATCTGATTACACCTCTATATTTATTTTCTTCTACAAATTTGCCTACCTCATCTTCATCTAAATAATATAACATGCTCATGGGAGTTGATATTCCATTGGTGTTTTCTATCCCAAACCAAATCTTTAGAAGTCCATTGTAATATTTTTCTTGATTTTTGAAGGCTGTTTCTTTTGTTTAATGTATTTTAATTCTAAAAAAATAACAGACCATTATATTAGAAAAATCTTTACATAGAAATTTATCAATAGAACTAAATATAATATCACCATCATAAATTTGAACAAGAAGGATGTCATGCTTAAAATTTTTAATATTTTTTTATCAATTTTTACTCTTTAAAAATTGTTTTCAGTAAAATCTTACTTAAATGCTCATATTACGCGTGGGAGACTTGTTTTAAATTATAAAGAGCATTTTTTAACTTGAAGAAATAATTAGGAGAAGAGAAGTTTTTAAAGCCGAGAGCTTGATCGATTTATGTTGAACAAGCGACACCAAAAACAAGAAGGCAAGTGGGTGAATTGTAATATTTGTATTTTCATTTTTTTTGCAAAGATTAACTTTAAGTTAATTGATGAGAATAAATAGAGAAATAAATAAATAGAGTTATAGAGATCACATCAGAGATTATAATGGATCAACGATAAGACAACATGTACGAAATAAAATTAATTTTAAAACGAGAATGAATGAGATAAGAGAGTAGATAGTTTAAAAAATTTATTCTTTAGAGATGGGCACAACACTCGTTTATATAGGAAATAATTTTGCTTGAAAATGCAATGTTGTCTGTTTTGTATGTGTAAGTATATACGATCAAATTGTAGCAAGTGATGTAAAAATAAGAGTATCGATCCCACAAAGATTATAATAAGTTAAGTTGATTCTCAATAGAAAACTTTGTGAATAGCTATGAGCAAAAGATAATAATAATAATAAGTAGTTGTCACAGGTTCAGGTTGAGTAGTAATATGTAAGATTAAAGAAGTTAAATCAATAGTGAGAGTCATGTTGGGTTATGTTCTATTTAATGAGTTTCATATCTTGTGTTTGTCTGATCTGTTGTGACTAGGGATGTTCAAAATCAAACCGGTCCAATAGAAAACCGCAAAACCAAACTAAACCAAATCGAAACCGCAAAAAACCGCAATTGGTTCGGATGTGTTTGAGTCATTTTCTAATGGAACCGCATGGTTTGATTTGGTTTGCGGTTTGTATTTTGTAAACCGAACCAAACTGAACTAAACCGCATTATGTTATTAAATCTTATTAACCAATATATTTCTTTAATTCTTTAGAGAAATCAACATGTATTATGTGTATATTTTATCATATTCTTTGTATGCTATGTATTTTAATTTACAAATCATAAAAAATGAAATATTATTCATTTATAAATACTATTCTCATAAAATATATTTTATCGTATTATTTGTATAATATTTATTTAAAAATGCAATCTTATGTATATCATTCTTTAGATTTAGATAAAATTATAATGCACAATTTTATGTAACAAATTATAAACTTATTTTGACAATTAGAAATTTTTTATGGTAATATATGAACGATTAAACACAAAATTATATTTTTCTCTATATGTGTATGTATGGCTAAATAATTTTTTTGTAAAAAATCGCACAAATCGAACCAATTCAAACCGCATTAGTTTGGTTTAGTTTGGTTTGATTTTATTTTTAAAAGTCAACCGAACCAAACCGAACCGCACATTTTTTTCTCTTGCGGTTCAGGTGATTTTTTGCTTCAAAACCGCCCAAACTGCACCGCGAATACCCCTAGTTGTGACAAATAAGACAGAAATGATCTAGTGGTGTATGTCTATAATATCAAATCATATGCATTAAGTTATGGTAACAACTCTCGAGGTCTCATAGTAGTATTAAATCACGTCTTGATTAGCTTCTGATTTTCCCTATGGTTGTAGTCCTTTATGTCTAAACTGACTAATCTAGTGAATATATTTATCCTACTTTTCAACCATATTTATCATGATTTTCACTAGTTAATAAACCTATCAGCCATTAACTAACTTTTACCTATCTCTAAGGTGATCAAGCAAAGGAACAAATATATAAAATTATTTCACATGATAAAAAACATCACTTCAAATCACACTATTTAATATAAAATACTCCTTTTCATTAAACTTCACATTGTTCAATATAAAAAAGTTTAGTCCATGGTGAGCAAAAAAAATACATCAAAAAAGATTATTAAAGTTAACCTTTCTAAACACCAATGGAAACCTAAGTGAATCTACTCCTTGCAATCTTTTAATTAGCAGGAGGCAAGTTATGTCACTCTTGGAAGCTCTTCACTTCTTCAATGGAGGAAAAATGAAAGGAACTCTTCACTTCAGGTCCAGACTTCTTCTCTAAATGAGATGTTTTTCTAATTTTTTCTCAAGTCTCTCGACTTTTGAACCTCTCTTCATTTATTCTAAGTGATCCTTTTATATTCTCCTAAATTTTAGGGTTTTCTTTGAGCATTGGATCATGGGCCTTGTGACTATCCATTGCTTTGGCCCAAGAATATTAGTATATTTTATCTCCATATCCTCTCATACCAGTACGAGTTAGTACAACTCAGTGTGCAGGGAACAACGCGACTTGTGTCAGGCCTGCTGCATTACAGACAAGAAGCGCATAAATTTCAATGTCCATCAGCTTTTTAGGTTTTGTCTTGTAGTGTTTTATTCTTATCCATCAAGTTTTCCAGCTCAACCAATGCTTCCTTCTTCATATAATGCCATATTTGACTTAATGTTGACTACCTTTTCTCATTACATTATCTTCTGGATCTAAGGCCTGCTGGAAAGTGAGGTTGAAATGCAACTGCCATTCTGTCATGCAAGAACTTATCATCAAAGTAGTCTGACACAAACAACAAACACATAAAATTCACAAAAGAGAGTACATAGTATGCTATATGCTAAGTAAACTAAATACAATAAAATCTACTTATATTAACCTAATAAATCTTGTTAACAAAAAATAAAATCAAGTAGTATCAGCTTAATCATCTCACAAATAGTGAGTTATCAGGCAACAATCCAAGGGCCTCACCGTTCTCTAATAGATAAGAAACGACAATCTAATAAATTAGATCTAGTCAGAAAAAGAAACCCTAAAATATGTTTGCGTTAATAAATTAATTAACA